AATGTTGTCCAACGGTTGGAAATGCTCCCCTGAAAAGTTTGGCGGTCGAAAGAGAAGGCTTTTTATCACAGGACAAGAAATCAGCCCTGGACAACTTAACCGGCAGAAGAAGATTTTTTCGAAAAAATCCCTAAGCCCCGGGGTCACAATTTCAGAAAAAATCTGACTTTTGGCAATTCACTCAAACTTGGTGCCCAACGGTTGCAAATGCTCCCCTGGAAGGTTTGGTGGTCGAAACAGAAGGAGTTTTATCACAGGACAAGAAATCAGACCTCGACCACTTAACTGGCGGAAAAATATTTTTTTGAAAAAATCCCTAAGCCCCGGGGACACAATTTCAGAAAAAATGTGACTTTCGGCAATTCACTCAAAAATGGTGTCCAACGGTTACAGATGCTCCACTGAAAGGTTTGGCGGTCGAAACCGAAGCCTTTTTATCACAGGACAAGAAATCAACCCTCGCCAACTTAACCGGCAGAAGAAGATTTTTTTCAATAAATCCCTAAGCCCCGGGGTCACAATTTCAGAAAAAATCTGACTTTCGGCATTTCACTCAAAAATGGTGTCCAACGGTTGCAAATGGTCCCCTGAAAGGTTTGGCGGTCGAAACCGAAGCATTTTTATCACAGGACAAGAAATCAGCCCTTGACAACTTAACCGGCAGAAGAAGATTTTTTTGAATAAATCCCTAAGCCCCGGGGTCACAATTTCAGAAAAAATCTGACTTTCGGCAATTCACTCAAAAATGGTGTCCAATGGTTGCAAATGCTTCGCTGAAAGGTTTGGCGGTCGAAACACAAGGCTTTTTATCACAGGACAAGAAATCAGACCTCGACAACTTAACCGTCGGAAAAATATTTTTTTGAAAAAATCCCTAAGCCCCGGGGTCACAATTTCAGAAAAAATCTGACTTTCGGCATTTCACTCAAAAATGGTGTCCAACGGTTGCAAATGGTCCCCTGAAAGGTTTGGCGGTCGAAACCGAAGCATTTTTATCACAGGACAAGAAATCAGCCCTTGACAACTTAACCGGCAGAAGAAGATTTTTTTGGATAAATCCCTAAGCCCCGGGGTCACAATATCAGAAAAAATGTGCCTTTCGGCAAATCACTCAAAAATGGTGCCCAATGGTTGCAAATGCTTCGCTGAAAGGTTTGGCGGTCGAAACACAAGGCTTTTTATCACAGGACAAGAAATCAGACCTCGACAACTTAACCGGCGGAAAAATATTTTTTTGAAAAAATCCCTAAGCCCCGGGGTCACAATTTCAGAAAAAATCTGACTTTCGGCAATTCACTCAATAAAGGTTCCCATCGGTTGCAAATTCTCCGCTGTAAGGTTTGGCGGTCGAAACAGAAGGCTTTTTATCACAGGACAAGAAATCAGCCCTCGACAACTTAACCGGCGGAAGATGATTTTTTTGAAAAAATCCCTAAGCCCCGGGGTCACAATTTCAGAAAAAATCTGAATTTCGGTAATTCACTCAAAAATGGTGTCCAACGGTTGCAAATCCTTCCCTCAAAAGTTTGGCGGTAGAAACAGAAGGCTTTTTATCACAGGACAAGAAATCAGCCCTGGACAACTTAACCGGCAGAAGAAGATTTTTTTGAAAAAATCCCTAAGCCCAGGGTCACAATTTCAGAAAAATCTGACTTTCGGCAATTCACTCAAAAATGGTTTCAACGGTTGCAAATGCTCCCTGAAAAGTTTGGTGGTCGAAACAGAAGGCTTTTATCACAGGACAAGAAATAAGCCCTCGACAACTTAACCGGCAGAAGAAGATTTTTTGAAAAATCCCTAAGCCCCGGGGTCACAATTTCAGAAAAAATGTGCCTTTCGACAATTCACTCAAAAATTGTGTCCAATGGTTGCAAATGCTCCGCTGAAAGTTTTGGCGGTTTAAACAGAAGCCTTTTTATCACAGGACAAGAAATCAACCCTCGACAACTTAACCGGCAGAAGAAGATTTTTTGAAAAAATCCCTAAGCCCCGGGGTCACAATTTCAGAAAAAATGTAACTTTCGGCAATTCACTCAAAAATGTTGTCCAACAGTTGCAAATGCTCCCTGAAAAGTTTGTAGGTCGAAACCGAAGCCTTTTATCACAGGACAAGAAATCAGCCCTCGCCAACTTAACCGGCAGAAGAAGATTTTTTTGAATAAATCCCTAAGCCCCTGAATCACAATTTCAGAAAAATTGTGACTTTCGGCAATTCACTCAAAAATGGTGTCCAATGGTTGCAAATGCCATGCTGAAAGGTTTGGCGGTCGAAACAAAAGGCTTTTTATCACAGGACAAGTAATCAGCCCTGGACAACTTAACAGGAAGAAGAAGATTTTTTTGAAGAAATCCCTAAGCCCCGGGTCACAATTTCAGAAAAAATATGTCTTTCGTCTATTAACTCAAAAATGGTGCCCAATGGTTGATAATGCTCAACTGATAGGTTTGGCGGTTATAACAGAAGGCTTTTTATCTCAGGACAAGAAATCAGACCTCGACAACTTAACTGGCGGAACAATATTTTTTTGAAAAAATCCCTAAGCCCCGGGGTCACAATTTCAGAAAAAAATCTGATTTCGGCAATTCACTCAAAAATGGTGTCCAACGGTTGCAAATGCTCCGCTGAAAGGTTTGGCTGTCGAAACACAAGGCTTTTTATCACAGGACAAAAAATCAGACCTCGACAACTTAAATGGCGGAAAAATATTTTTTTGAAAAAATCCCTAAGCCCCGGGGTCACATTTTCAGAAAAAATCTGACTTTCTGCAATTCACTCAAAAATGGTGCCCAACGGTTGCAAATGCTCCGGTGAAAGGTTTGGCGGTCGAAACAGAAGGCTTTTTATCTTAGGACAAGAAATCAGCCCTCGACAACTTAATCGGTGGAAGAAGATTTTTTTGAAAAAATCCCTAAGCCCCGAAGTCACAGTTTTAGAAAAAATGTAACTTTCGGCAATTCACTCAAAAATGGTGCCCAACGGTTGCAAATGCTCCGCTGAAAGGTTTGGCGGTCGAAACACAAGGCTTTTTATCACAGGACAAGAAATCAGACCTCGACAACTTAACTGGCGGAAAAATATTTTTTTGAAAAAATCCCTAAGCCCCGGGGTCACAATTTCAGAAAAAAATCTGATTTCGGCAATTCACTCAAAAATGGTGTCCAATGGTTGCAAATGCCATGCTGAAAGGTTTGGCGGTCGAAACAAAAGGCTTTTTATCACAGGACAAGAAATGAACCCTCGACAACTTAACCAGCAGAAGAAGATATTTTGAAAAAATCCTAAGCCCCAAGTCACAGTTTCAGAAAAAATGTGACTTTCAGCAATTCACTCAAAAATGGTTCCAAACGGTTGCAAATGCTCCGCTGAAAGGTTTGGCGTTCGAAACAGAAGGCTTTTTATCACAGGACAAGAAATCAGTCCTCGACAACTTTATCGGCGGAAGAAGATTTTTTTGAAAAAATCCCTAAGCCCCGAAGACACAGTTTCAGAAAAAATCTGACTTTCGGCAATTCACTCAAAAATGGTTCCAAACGGCTGCAAATGCTCCCCTGAAAGGTTTGGCGGTCAAAACACAAGGCTTTTTATCACAGGACAAGAAATCAGACCTCGACAACTTAATCGGCGGAAAAATTATTTTTTTGAAAAAATCCCTAAGCCCCGGGATCACAATTTCAGAAAAAATCTGACTTTCGGCAATTCACTCAAAAATGGTTTCCAACGGTTGCAAATCCTCCCCTGAAAAGTTTGGTGGTCGAAAAAGAAGGCTTTTTATCACAGGACAAGAAATAAGCCCTCGACAACATAACCGGCAGAAGAAGATTTTTTTGAAAAAATCCCTAAGCCCCGGGGTCACAATTTCAGAAAAAATGTGCCTTTCGGCAATTCACTCAAAAATTGTGTCCAATGGTTGCAAATGCTCCGCTGAAAGTTTTGGCGGTTTAAACAGAAGCCTTTTTATCACAGGACAAGAAATCAACCCTCGACAACTTAACAGGCAGAAGAAGATTTTTTGAAAAAATCCCTAAGTCCCGGTGTCACAATTTCAGAAAAAATGTAACTTTCGGCAATTCACTCAAAAATGGTGTCCAATGGTGGCAAATGCTCCCCTTAAAAGTTTGGCGATCGAAACAGAAGCCTTTTTATCACAGGACAAGAAATCAACCCTCAACAACTTAAGAGGCAGAAGAAGATTTTTTGAAAAAATCCCTAAGCCCCGGGGTCACAATTTCAGAAAAAATGTAACTTTCGGCAATTCACTCAAAAATGTTGTCCAACGGTGGCAAATGCTTCCCTGAAAAGTTTGTAGGTAGAAACCGAAGCCTTTTTATCACAGGACAAGGAATCAGCCCTCGCCAACTTAACCGGCAGAAGAAGATTTTTTTGAATAAATCCTTAAGTCCCGGGATCACAATTTCAGAAAAAATCTGACTTTCGGCAATTCTCTCAAAAATGGTTCCAAACGGTTGCAAATGCTCCGCTGAAAGGTTTGGCGGTTAAAACAGGAGGCTTTTTATAACAGGACAAGAAATCAGACCTCGACAACTCAACCGGCGGAAAAATATTTTTGAAAAATCCCTAAGCTCCAGGGTCACAATTTCACAAAAAATGTGACTTTCAGCAATTCACTCAGAAATGGTGTCCAACGGATGCAAATGCTTCCCTGAAAAGTTTGGCGGTCGAAACAGAAGGCTTCTTATCACAGGACAAGAAATCAGCCCTCGACAACTTAATCGGTGGAAGAAGATTTTTTTGAAAAAATCCCTAAGCCCCAAAGTCACAGTTTTAGAAAAATGTGACTTTCGGCAATCCACTCAAAATGGTGTCCAACGGTTGCAAATGCTCCCTGAAAGGTTTAGCGGTCGAAAGAGAAGTCTTTTATCACAGCGCAAGAAATCAACCCTCTACAACTTAACAGGCAGAAAAAGATTTTTTGAAAAAATCCCTAAGCCCCGGGGTCATAATTTCAGAAAAAAACTCACTTTCGCCAATTCACTCAAAAATGGTGTCCAATGGTTGCAAATGCCATGCTGAAAGGTTTGGCGTTCGAAACAGAAGGCTTTTTATCACAAGACAAGAAATCAGTCCTCGACAACTTAACCGGCGGAAAAATATTTTTTTGAAAAAATCCCTAAGCCCCGCGGTCACAATTTCAGAAAAAATCCGACTTTCGGCAATTCACTCAAAAATGGTGTCCAACGGTTGCAAATGCTCCCCTGAAAGGTTTGGCGGTCGAAACAGAAGCCTTTTTATCACAGGAAAAGAAATAAGATCTCGACAACTTAACCAGCAGAAAAATATATTTTTGAAAAAATCCCTAAGCCCCGGGGTCACAATTTCAGAAAGAATCCGAGTTTCGGCAATTCACTCAAAAATGGTGCCCAACGGTTGCAAATGCCATGCTGAAAGTTTTGGCGATCGAAACAGAAGGCTTTTTATCAAAGGACAAGAAATCAGCCCTCGAAAACTTAACCAGCGGAAAAATATTTTTTTGAAAATATCCCTAAGCCCCGGAATCACAATTTCAGAAAAAATCCGACTTTCGGCAACTCACTCAAAAATGCTGTCCAACGGTTGCAAATGCTCCCCTGAAAGGTTTGGCGGTCGAAACAGAAGCCTTTTTATCAGAGGACAAGAAATCAGACCTCGACAACTTAACTGGCGGAAAAATATTTTTTTGAAAAAATCCCTAAGCCCCGGGGTCACAATTTCAGAAAAAATGTGACTTTCGGCAATTCACTCAAAAATGGTGTCCAATGGTTGCAAATGCTTCCCTGAAAAGTTTGGCGGTCGAAACCGAAGCCTTTTTATCACAGGACAAAAAATCAGCCCTCGACAACTAAACCGGCAGAAGAAGATTTTTTTGAAAAAATCTCTAAGCCCTGGGGTCACAATTTCACAAAAAATGTGACTTTCGGCAATTCACTCAATAATGCTGCCCAACGGTTGCAAATGCTCCCTGAAAAGTTTGGCGGTAGAAACAGAAGGCATTTTTTCACAGGACAAGAAATCAGCCCTCGACAACTTAACCAGCAGAAGGAGATTTTTTTGAAAAAATCCCTAAGCCCCGGGGTCACAATTTTAGAAAAAATCTGACTTTTGGCAATTCACTCAAAAATGGTGCCCAACGGTTGCAAATGCTCCCCTGAAAGGTTTGGTGGTCGAAACAAAAGGCTTTTTATCACAGGACAAGAAATCAGACCTCGACAACTTAACCGGCAGAAAAATGTTTTTTTTAAAAAAAATCCCGAAGCCCCGGGGTCACAATTTCAGAAAAATCTGACTTTCGGCAATTCACTCAAGAATGGTGTCCAACGGTTGGAAATGCTCCCCTGAAAATTTTGTCGGTCGAAATAGACGGCTTTTTATCACAGGACAAGAAATCAGCCCAGGACAACTTGACCTGCAGAAGAAGATTTTTTCGAAAAATCAATAAGCCCGGGGACACAATTTCAGAAAAATGTGACTTTCGGCAATTCACTCAAAAATGGTGTCCAACGGTTGCAAATGATCCCCTGAAAAGTTTAGCGGTCAAAACCGAATCCTTTTTATCAAAGGACAAGAAATCAGCCCTCAACAATTTAACTGGAGGAAGAAGATTTTTTTGAAAAAATCGCTAAGAACCGGGGTCACAATTTCCGAGAAAATATGACTTTCGGCAATTCACTCAATAATGCTGCCCAACGGTTGCAGATGCTCCCCTGAAAAGTTTGGCGGTCGAAACAGGAGCCATTTTTCACAGGAAAAGAAATCAGCCCTCGACAACTTAACCGGCGCAAAAAAATTTTTGAATAAATCCCTAAGCCCCGGGTCACAATTTCAGAAAAATCTGACTTTCGGCAATTCACTCAAAAATGGTGTCCAACGGTTGGAAATGCTCCCTGAAAAGTTTGGCGGTCGAAATAGAAGGCTTTTATCACAGGACAAGAAATCAGCCCAGGACAACTTGACCGGCAGAAGAAGATTTTTTCGAAAGAAATCAATAAGCCCCGGGGTCACAATTTCAGAAAAAATGTGCCTTTCGGCAATTCACTCAAAAATTGTGTCCAACCGTTGCAAATGCTCCGCTGAAAGTTTTGGCGGTTTAAACAGAAGCCTTTTTATCACAGGACAAGAAATCAACCCTCGACAACTTAACAGGCAGTAGAAGATTTTTTGAAAAAATCCCTAAGCCCCGGGGTCACAATTTCAGAAAAAATGTAACTTTCTACAATTTACTCAAAAATGTTGTCCAACAGTTGCAAATGCTCCCCTGAAAAGTTTGGCGGTCGAAACCGAAGCCTTTTTATCACAGGACAAGAAATCAGACCTCGACTACTTAACCGGCAGAAGAAGATTTTTTTGAATAAATCCTAAGCTCCGGGGTCACAATTTCAGAAAAATTGTGACTTTCGGCAAGTCACTCAAAAATGGTGTCCAATGGTTGCAAATGCCATGCTGAAAGGTTTGGCGGTCGAAACAAAAGGCTTTTATCACAGGACAAGAAATCAGCCCACGACAACTTAACAGGAAGAAGAAGATTTTTTTGAAGAAATCCCTAAGCCCCGGGGTCACAATTTCAGAAAAAATCTGACTTTCGGCAATTCACTCAAAAATGGTGTCCAACGGTTGGAAATGCTCCCCTGAAAAGTTTGGCGGTCGAAATAGAAGGCTTTTTATCACAGGACAAGAAATCAGCCCAGGACAACTTGACCGGCAGAAGATTTTTTCGAAAGAAATCAATAAGCCCCGGGGTCACAATTTCAGAAAAAATGTGCCTTTCGGCAATTCACTCAAAAATTGTGTCCAACCGTTGCAAATGCTCCGCTGAAAGTTTTGGCGGTTTAAACAGAAGCCTTTTTATCACAGGACAAGAAATCAACCCTCGACAACTTAACAGGCAGTAGAAGATTTTTTGAAAAAATCCCTAAGCCCCGGGTCACAATTTCAGAAAAATGTAACTTTCTACAATTTACTCAAAAATGTTGTCCAACAGTTGCAAATGCTCCCCTGAAAAGTTTGGCGGTCGAAACCGAAGCCTTTTTATCACAGGACAAGAAATCAGACCTCGACTACTTAACCGGCAGAAGAAGATTTTTTTGAATAAATCCCTAAGCCCCGGGGTCACAATTTCAGAAAAATTGTGACTTTCGGCAATTCACTCAAAAATGGTGTCCAATGGTTGCAAATGCCATGCTGAAAGGTTTGGCGGTCGAAAAAAAAGGCTTTTATCACAGGACAAGAAATCACCCCCCTACAACTTAACAGGAAGAAGAAGATTTTTTTGAAGAAATCCCTAAGCCCCGGGGTCACAATTTCAGAAAAAATCTGACTTTCGGCAATTCACTCAAAAATGTTGTCCAACGGTTGCAAATGCTCCCTAGAAAAGTTTGTAGGTCGAAACAGAAGGCTTTTTATCACATGACATGAAATCAGCCCTCGAAAACTTAACCGGTGGATAAAATTTTTTTTGAAAAAATCCCTAATCCCCGGGGGCACAATTTCAGAAAAAAACAGACTTTTGTCAACTCACTCAAAAATGGGATCCAACGGTTGCAAATACTACCCTGAAATGTTTGGCGGTCGAAATAGAAGTCTTTTTATCACAGGACAAGAAATCAGACCTCGACAACTTAACCGGCGGAAAAATATTTTTTTGAAAAAATCAATAAGCCCCGGGGTCACAATTTCAGAAAAAAATGTGACTTTCGACAATTCACTCATAAATGGTGTTCAATGGTTGGAAATGCTCCCCTGAAAAGTTTGGCAGTCGAAATAGAAGCCTTTTTATCACAGGACAAGAAATCAGCCCTCGCCAACTTAACCGGCAGAAGAAGATTTTTTTTGAAAAAATCCCTAAGCCCCGGGGTCACAATTTCAGAAAAAAATCTGACTATCGGCAATTTACTCAATAATGGTGTCCAACCGTTGCAAATGCTACCCTAAAAAGTTTGGCGGTCGAAACAGAAGGCTTTTTATCACAGGACAAGAAATCAGACCTCGACAACTTAACCTGCAGAAGAAGATTTTTTTGAAAAAATCCCTAAGCCCCGGGGTCACAATTTCAGAAAAAATGTGACTTTCGGCAATTCACTCAAAAATGGTGTCCAATGGTTGCAAATGCTTCCCTGAAAAGTTTGGCGGTCGAAACCGAAGCCTTTTTATCACAGGACAAAAAATCAGCCCTCGACAACTAAACCGGCAGAAGAAGATTTTTTTGAAAAAATCTCTAAGCCCTGGGGTCACAATTTCACAAAAAATGTGACTTTCGGCAATTCACTCAATAATGCTGCCCAACGGTTGCAAATGCTCCCCTGAAAAGTTTGGCGGTAGAAACAGAAGGCATTTTTTCACAGGACAAGAAATCAGCCCTCGACAACTTAACCAGCAGAAGGAGATTTTTTTGAAAAAATCCCTATGCCCCGGGGTCACAATTTCAGTCAAAATCTGACTATTGGCAATTCACTCAAAAATGGTGCCCAACGGTTGCAAATGCTCCCCTGAAAGGTTTGGCGGTCGTAACAGAAGGCTTTTTATCACAGGACAAGAAATCAGCCCTCAACATCTTAACCGGCAGAAAAATGTTTTTTTAAAAAATCCAAGCCCCGGGTCACAATTTCAGAAAAATCTGACTTTCGGCAATTCACTCAAGAATGGTGTCCAACGGTTGGAAATGCTCCTGAAAATTTTGTCGGTCGAAATAGACGGCTTTTTATCACAGGACAAGAAATCAGCCCAGGACAACTTGACCTGCAGAAGAAGATTTTTCGAAAAATCAATAAGCCCCGGGGTCACAATTTCAGAAAAAATGTGACTTTCGGCAATTCACTCAAAATGGTGTCCAACGGTTGCAAATGATCTCCTGAAAAGTTTAGCGGTCAAAACCGAATCCTTTTATCAAAGGACAAGACATCAGCCCTCAACACTTTAACTGGAGGAAGAAGATTTTTTTGAAAAAATCGCTAAGAACCGGGGTCACAATTTCCGAGAAAATATGACTTTCGGCAATTCACTCAATAATGCTGCCCAACGGTTGCAGATGCTCCCCTGAAAAGTTTGGCGGTCGAAACAGGAGCCATTTTTTCACAGGAAAAGAAATCAGCCCTCGACAACTTAACCGGCGGAAAAATATTTTTTTGAATAAATCCCTAAGCCCCGGGGTCACAATTTCAGAAAAAATCTGACTTTCGGCAATTCACTCAAAAATGGTGTCCAACGGTTGGAAATGCTCCCCTGAAAAGTTTGGCGGTCGAAATAGAAGGCTTTTTATCACAGGACAAGAAATCAGCCCAGGACAACTTGACCGGCAAAAGAAGATTTTTTCGAAAGAAATCAATAAGCCCCGGGGTCACAATTTCAGAAAAAATGTGCCTTTCGGCAATTCACTCAAAAATTGTGTCCAACCATTGCAAATGCTCCGCTGAAAGTTTTGGCGGTTTAAACAGAAGCCTTTTTATCACAGGACAAGAAATCAACCCTCGACAACTTAACAGGCAGTAGAAGATTTTTAAAAAAATCCCTAAGCCCCGGGGTTACAATTTCAGAAAAAATGTAACTTTCTACAATTTACTCAAAAATGTTGTCCAACAGTTGCAAATGCTCCCCTGAAAAGTTTGGCGGTCGAAACCGAAGCCTTTTTATCACAGGACAAGAAATCAGACCTCGACTACTTAACCGGCAGAAGAAGATTTTTTTGAATAAATCCCTAAGCCCCGGGGTCACAATTTCAGAAAAATTGTGACTTTCGGCAATTCACTCAAAAATGGTGTCCAATGGTTGCAAATGCCATGCTGAAAGGTTTGGCGGTCGAAACAAAAGGCTTTTTATCACAGGACAAGAAATCAGCCCACGACAACTTAACAGGAAGAAGAAGATTTTTTTGAAGAAATCCCTAAGCCCCGGGGTCACAATTTCAGAAAAAATCTGACTTTCGGCAATTCACTCAAAAATGGTGTCCAACGGTTGGAAATGCTCCCCTGAAAAGTTTGGCGGTCGAAATAGAAGGCTTTTTATCACAGGACAAGAAATCAGCCCAGGACAACTTGACCGGCAGAAGATTTTTTCGAAAGAAATCAATAAGCCCCGGGGTCACAATTTCAGAAAAAATGTGCCTTCGGCAATTCACTCAAAAATTGTGTCCAACCGTTGCAAATGCTCCGCTGAAAGTTTTGGCGGTTTAAACAGAAGCCTTTTTATCACAGGACAAGAAATCAACCCTCGACAACTTAACAGGCAGTAGAAGATTTTTTGAAAAATCCCTAAGCCCCGGGTCACAATTTCAGAAAAATGTAACTTTCTACAATTTACTCAAAAATGTTGTCCAACAGTTGCAAATGCTCCCTGAAAAGTTTGGCGGTCGAAACCGAAGCCTTTTATCACAGGACAAGAAATCAGACCTCGACTACTTAACAGGCAGAAAAAGATTTTTTGAATAAATCCCTAAGCCCCGGGGTCACAATTTCAGAAAAATTGTGACTTTCGGCAATTCACTAAAAAATGGTGTCCAATGGTTGCAAATGCCATGCTGAAAGGTTTGGCGGTCGAAACAAAAGGCTTTTATCACAGGACAAGAAATCAGCCCACGACAACTTAACAGGAAGAAGAAGATTTTTGAAGAAATCCCTAAGCCCGGGGGTCACAATTTCAGAAAAAATCTGACTTTCGGCAATTCACTCAAAAATGTTGTCCAACGGTTGCAAATGCTCCCTAGAAAGTTTGTAGGTCGAAACAGAAGGCTTTTATCACATGACATGAAGTCAGCCCTCGAAAACTTAACCGGTGGATAAAATTTTTTTGAAAAATCCCTAATCCCGGGGCACAATTTCAGAAAAACAGACTTTTGTCAACTCACTCAAAAATGGGATCCAACGGTTGCAAATACTACCCTGAAATGTTTGGCGGTCGAAATAGAAGTCTTTTATCACAGGACAAGAAATCAGACCTCGACAACTTAACCGGCGGAAAAATATTTTTTGAAAAATCAATAAGCCCCGGGTCACAATTTCATAAAAATATGTTTCTTTCGACTATTCTCTCATAAATGTTGTTCAACGGTTGGAAATGCTCCCCTGAAAAGTTTGGATGTCGAAATAGAAGGCTTTTTATCACAGGACAAGAAATCAGCCCTCGCCAACTTAACCGGCAGAAGAAGATTTTTTTGAAAAAATCCCTAAGCCCCGGGGTCACAATTTCAGAAAAATCTGACTATCGGCAATTTACTCAATAATGGTGTCCAACCGTTGCAAATGCTCCCTAAAAAGTTTGGCGGTCGAAACAGAAGGCTTTTATCACAGGACAAGAAATCAGACCTCGACAACTTAACCGGCAGAAGAAGATTTTTTTGAAAAAATCCCTAAGCCCCGGGGTCACAATTTCAGAAAAAATGTGACTTTCGGCAATTCACTCAAAAATGGTGTCCAACGGTTGCAAATGCTCCCCTGAAAAGTTTGGCGGTTGAAAGAGAAGACTTTTATCACCGCGCACAAGAAATCAACCCTCGACAACTTAACAGGCAGAAGAAGATTTTTTGAAAAAATCCCAAACCCCGGGGTCACAATTTCAGAAAAAATCTGACTTTCGGCAATTCACTCAAAAATGGTGTCCAACGGTTGGAAATGCTCCCCTGAAAAGTTTGGCGGTCGAAACCGAAGCCTTTTTCTCACAGGACAAGAAATCAGACCTCGACTACTTAACCGGCAGAAAAAGAGTTTTTCGAAAAAATCCCTAAACCCCAGGGTCACAATTTCAGAAAAAATCTGACTTTCGGCAATTCACTCAAAAATGGTGTCCAACGGTTGCAAATGCTCCCCTGAAAAGTTTGGCGGTCGAAAGAGAAGTCTTTTTATCACAGCACAAGAAATCAGCCCTCGACAACTTGACCGGCAGAAGAAGATTTTTTTGAAAAAATCCCTAAACCCCAGGGTCACAATTTCAGAAAAAATCTGACTTTCTGCAATTCACTCAAAAATGGTGTCCAACGGTTGCAAATGCTCCCCTGAAAAGTTTGGCGGTCGAAAGAGAAGTCTTTTTATCACCGCACAAGAAATCAACCCTCGACAACTTAACAGGCAGAAGAAGATTTTTTGAAAAAATCCCTCAGCCCCGGGGTCACAATTTCAGAAAAAATCTGACTTTCGGCAATTCACTCAAAAATGGTGTCCAACGGTTGGAAATGCTCCCCTGAAAAGTTTGGCGGTCGAAACAGAAGCCTTTTTATCACAGGACAAGAAATCAGACCTCGACTACTTAACCGGCAGAAGAATATTTTTTCGAAAAAATCAATAAGCCCCGGGGTCACAATTTCAGAAAAAATGTGACTTTCGGCAATTCACTCAAAAATGGTGTCCAACGGTTGCAAATGCTCCCCTGAAAAGTTTGGCGGTCGAAGAGAAGGCTTTTTATCACAGGACAAGAAATCAGCCCTGGACAACTTAACCGGCAGAAGAAGATTTTTTCGAAAAAATCATTAAGCCCCGGGGTCACAATTTCAGAAAAAATCTGACTTTCGGCAATTCACTCAAAAATGTTGTCCAACGGTTGCAAATGCTCCCTAGAAAAGTTTGTAGGTCGAAACAGAAGGCTTTTTATCACATGACATGAAATCAGCCCTCGAAAACTTAAGCGGCGGAAAAAATTTTTTTTTGAAAAAATCCCTAAGCCCCGGGGTCACAATTTCAGAAAAAAACTGACTTTTGTCAACTCACTCAAAAATGGTATCCAACGGTTGCAAATACTACCCTGTAATGTTTGGCGGTCGAAATAGATGTCTTTTTATCACAGGACAAGAAATCAGACCTCGACAACTTAACCGGCGGAAAAATATTTTTTTGAAAAAATCAATAAGCCCCGGGGTCACAATTTCAGAAAAAATGTGACTTTCGACAATTCACTCATAAATGGTGTCCAATGGTTGGAAATGCTCCCCTGAAAAGGTTGGCAGTCGAAATAGAAGCCTTTTTATCACAGGACAAGAAATCAGCCCTCGCCAACTTAACCGGCAGAAGAAGATTTTTTTGAAAAAATCCCTAAGCCCCGGGGTCACAATTTCAGAAAAAATCTGACTATCGGCAATTTACTCAATAATGGTGTCCAACCGTTGCAAATGCTCCCCTAAAAAGTTTGGCGGTCGAAACAGAAGGCTTTTTATCACAGGACAAGAAATCAGACCTCGACAACTTAACCTGCAGAAGAAGATTTTTTTGAAAAAATCCCTAAGCCCCGGGGTCACAAATTTCAGAAAAAATGTGACTTTCGGCAATTCACTCAAAAATGGTGTCCAACGGTTGCAAATGCTACCCTGAAAAGTTTGGCGGTCGAAAGAGAAGTCTTTTTATCACCGCACAAGAAATCACCCCTCGACCACTTAACAGGCAGAAGAAGATTTTTGAAAAATCCCAAACCCCGGGGTCACAATTTCAGAAAAAATCTGACTTTCGGCAATTCACTCAAAAATGGTGTCCAACGGTTGGAAATGCTCCCCTGAAAAGTTTGGCGGTCGAAACCGAAGCCTTTTTCTCACAGGACAAGAAATCAGACCTCGACTACTTAACCGGCAGAAGAAGATTTTTCGAAAAATCCCTAAACCCCAGGGTCACAATTTCAGAAAAATCTGACTTTCGGCAATTCACTCAAAAATGGTGTCCAACGGTTGGAAATGCTCCCCTGAAAAGTTTGGCGGTCGAAAGAGAAGTCTTTTTATCACAGGACAAGAAATCAGCCCTCGACAACTTAACCGGCAGCCGAAGATTTTTTTGAAAAAATCCCTAAGCCCCGGGGTCACAATTTCAGAAAAATTGTGACTTTCGGCAATTCACTCAAAAATGGTGTCCAATGGTTGCAAATGCCATGCTGAAAGCTTTGGCGGTCGAAACAAAAGGCTTTTTATCACAGGACAAGAAATCAGCCCTGGACAACTTAACAGGAAGAAGAAGATTTTTTTGAAGAAATCCCTAAGCCCCGGGGTCACAATTTCAGAAAAAATCTGACTTTCGGCAATTCACTCAAAAATGTTGTCCAACGGTTGCAAATGCTCCCTAGAAAAGTTTGTAGGTCGAAACAGAAGGCTTTTTATCACATGACATGAAATCAGCCCTCGAAAACTTAACCGGTGGATAAAATTTTTTTTGAAAAAATCCATAATCCCCGGGGGCACAATTTCAGAAAAAAACAGACTTTTGTCAACTCACTCAAAAATGGGATCCAACGGTTGCAAATACTACCCTGAAATGTTTGGCGGTCGAAATAGAAGTCTTTTTATCACAGGACAAGAAATCAGACCTCGACAACTTAACCGGCGGAAAAATATTTTTTTGAAAAAATCAATAAGCCCCGGGGTCACAATTTCAGAAAAAATGTGACTTTCGACAATTCACTCAAAAATGGTATCCAATGGTTGGAAATGCTCCCCTGAAAAGTTTGGCGGTCGAAAGAGAAGGCTTTTTATCACAGGACAAGAAATCAGCCCTGGACAACTTAACCGGCAGAAGAAGATTTTTTCGAAAAAATCATTAAGCCCCGGGGTCACAATTTCAGAAAAAATCTGACTTTCGGCAATTCACTCAAAAATGTTGTCCAACGGTTGCAAATGCTCCCTAGAAAAGTTTGTAGGTCGAAACAGAAGGCTTTTTATCACATGACATGAAATCAGCCCTCGAAAACTTAAGCGGCGGAAAAATTTTTTTTTTGAAAATATCCCTAAGCCCCGGGGGCACAATTTCAGAAAAAACTGACTTTTGTCAACTCACTCAAAAATGGTATCCAACGGTTGCAAATACTACCCTGTAATGTTTGGCGGTCGAAATAGAAGTCTTTTTATCACAGGACAAGAAATAAGCCCTCGCCAACTTAACCGGCAGAAGAAGATTTTTTTGAAAAAATCCCTAAGCCCCGGGGTCACAATTTCAGAAAAAATCTGACTTTTGGCAATTCACTCACAAATGGTGCCCAAGGGTTGCAAATGCTCCCCTGAAAGGTTTGGCGGTCGAAACACAAGGCTTTTTATCACTGGACAAGAAATCAGCCCCGGATAACATAACCGGCAGAAGAAGATTTTTTTGAAAAAATCCCTAAGCCCCGGGGTCACAATTTCAGAAAAAATCTGACTATCGGCAATTCACTCAATAATGGTGTCCAATGGTTGCAAATGCTCCCCTGAAAAGTTTGGCGGTCGAAACAGAAGGCTTTTTATCACAGCACAAGAAATCAACCCTCGACAACTTAACAGGCAGAGGAAGATTTTTTGAAAAAATCCCTAAGCCCTGGGGTCACAATTTCAGAAAAAAATCTGACTTTCGGCAATTCACTCAAGAATGGTGTCCAACGGTTGGAAATGCTCCCCTGAAAAGTTTGGCGGTCGAAACAGAAGCCTTTTTATCACAGGACAAGAAATCAGCCCTGGACAACTTAACCGGCAGAAGATTTTTTCGAAAAAATCAATAAGCCCTGGGGTCACAATTTCAGAAAAAATCTGACTTTCGGCAATTCACTCAATAATGCTGCCCAACGGTTGCAAATGCTCCGCTGAAAAGTTTGGCAGTCGAAACAGAAGCCATTTTTTCACAGGACAAGAAATCAGCCCTCGACAACTTAAACGGCGGAAAAATATTTTTTTGAAAAAAACCTTAAGCCCCGTGGTCACAATGTCAGAAAAAATGTTACTTTCGGCAATTCACTCAAAAATGGTGTCCAACGGTTGGAAATGCTCCCCTGAAAAGTTTGGCAGTCGAAAAAGAAGCCGTTTTATCACAGGACAAGAAATCAGCCGTGGACAACTTAACCGGCAGAAGAAGATTTTTTCGAAAAAATCAATAAGCCCCGGGGTCACAATTTCAGAAAAAATGTGACTTTCGGCAATTCACTCATAAATGGTGTCCAACGGTTGGAAATGCTCCCCTGAAAAGTTTGGCGGTCGAAACAGAGGACTTTTTATCACAGGACAAGAAATCAGCCCTCGACAACTTAACCGGCAGAAGAAGATTTTTTCAAAAATCCCTAAGCCCCGGGTCACAATTTCAGAAAAAACTGACTTTTGTCAATTCACTCAAAAATGGTGTCCAACGGTTGCAAATACTCCCTGAAAGGTTTGGCGGTCGAAACAGAAGGCTTTTTATCACAGGACAAGAAATCAGACCTCGACAACATAACCTGCAGAAGAAGATTTTTTTGAAAAAATCCCTAAGCCCCGGGGTCACAATTTCAGAAAAAATCTGACTATCGGCAATTCACTCAAAAATGGTGTCCAACGGTTGCAAATGCTCCCCTGAAAAGTTTGGCGGTCGAAACCGAAGCCTTTTTATCACAGGACAAGAAATCAGCCCTCGACAACTTGACCGGCAGAAGAAGATTTTTTTGAAAAAATCCGTAAGCCTCGGGGTCACAGTTTCAGAAAAAATGTGACTTTCAGCAATTCACTCAAAAATGGTGTCCAACGGTTGCAAATGCTCCCCTGAAAAGTTTGGCGGTCGCAACAGAAGCCTTTTATCACAGGACAAGAAATCAGACCTCGACTACTTAACCGGCAGAAGAATATTTTTTCGAAAAATCCCTAAGCCCCGGGGTCACAATTTCAGAAAAAATGTGACTTTCGGCTATTCACTCAAAAATGGTGTCCAACGGTTGCAAATGCTCCCCTGAAAAGTTTGGCGGTCGAAAGAGAAGGCTTTTTATCACAGGACAAGAAATCAGCCCTGGACAACTTAACCGGCAGAAGAAGATTTTTTCGAAAAGATCATTAAGCCCCGGGTCACAATTTCAGAAAAATCTGACTTTCGGCAATTCACTCAAAAATGTTGTCCAACGGTTGCAAATGCTCCCTAGAAAAGTTTGTAGGTCGAAACAGAAGGCTTTTATCACATGACATGAAATCAGCCCTCGAAAACTTAAGCGGCGGAAAAAATTTTTTTGAAAAATCCCTAAGCCCCGGGTCACAATTTCAGAAAAAACTGACTTTTGTCAACTCACTCAAAAATGGTATCCAACGGTTGCAAATACTACCCTGTAATGTTTGGCGGTCGAAATAGAAGTTTTTTTATCACAGGGCAAGAAATCAGACCTCGACAACTTAACCGGCGGAAAAATATTTTTTTGAAAAAATCAATAAGCCCCGGGGTCACAATTTCAGAAAAAATGTGACTTTCGACAATTCACTCATAAATGGTGTCCAACGGTTGGAAATGCTCCCCTGAAAAGTTTGGCAGTCGAAATAGAAGTCTTTTTATCAAAGGACAAGAAATAAGCCCTCGCCAACTTAACCGGCAGAAGAAGATTTTTTTGAAAAAATCCCTAAGCCCCGGGGTCACAATTTCAGAAAAAATCTGACTTTTGGCAATTCACTCACAAATGGTTCCCAACGGTTGCAAATGCTCCCCTGAAAGGTTTGGCGGTCGAAAAAGAAGGTGTTTTAACACAGGACAAGAAATCAGCCCTGGATAACATAACCGGCAGAAGAAGATTTTTTTTGAAAAAATCCCTAAGCCCCGGGGTCACAATTTCAGAAAAAATCTGACTATCGGCAATTCACTCAATAATGGTGTCCAATGGTTGCAAATGCTCCCCTGAAAGGTTTGGCGGTCGAAACAGAAGGCTTTTTATCACAGCACAAGAAATCAACCCTCGACAACTTAACAGGCAGAAGAAGATTTTTTGAAAAAATCCCTAAGCCCTGGGGTCACAATTTCGGGAAAAAATCTGACTTTCGGCAATTCACTCAAGAATGGTGTCCAACGGTTGGAAATGCTCCCTGAAAAGTTTGGAGGGCGAAACAGAAGCCTTTGTATCACAGGAAAAGAAATCAGCCCTGGACAACTTAACAGGCAGAAGATTTTTTCGAAAAAATCAATAAGCCCCGGGGTCACAATTTCAGAAAAAATCTGACTTTCGGCAATTCACTCAATAATGCTGCCCAACGGTTGCAAATGCTCCGCTGAAAAGTTTGGCGGTCGAAATAGAAGGCTTTTTATCACAGGACAAGAAATCAGCCCTCGACAACTTAACCGGCAGAAGATGATTTTTTCGAAAAAATCAATAAGCCCCGGGGTCACAATTTCAGAAAAAATGTGACTTTCAGCAATTCACTCATAAATGGTGCCGAACGGTTGCAAATGCTCCCCTGAAAGGTTTGGCGGTCGAAACGGAAGGCGTTTTAACACAGGACAAGAAATCAGCCCTGGACAACTTAACCGGCAGAAAAATATTTTTTGGAAAAAATCCCTAAGCCCCGGGGTCACAATTTCAGAAAAAATCTGACTATCGGCAATTCACTCAATAATGGTGCCCAACGGTTGCAAATGCTCCCCTGAAAAGTTTGGCGTTCGAAACAGAAGGCTTTTATCACAGGACAAGAAATCAGCCCTCGACAACTTAACCGGAAGAAGATTTTTTGAAAAATCCTAAGCCCCGGGTCACAATTTCAAAAAATCTGACTTTCGGCAATTCACTCAAGAATAGTGCCCAACGGTTGCAAATGCTCCCCTGAAAAGTTTGGCGATCAAAACAGAAGGCTTTTATCATAGGACAAGTAATCAGCCCTCGACACCTTTACCGTCAGATGCAGATTTTTTTGAATATTTACCTAAGCCTCGGGGTCACAATTTCAGAAAAAATATGACTTTTGGCAATTCACTCAAAAATGGTGTCCAACGGTTGCAAATGCTCCCCTGAAAAGTTTGGCGGTCGAAAGAGAAGTCTTTTTATCACAGCACAGGAAATCAACCATCGACAACTTAACAGGCAGAAGAAGATTTTTTGAAAAATCCCTCAGCCCCGGGATCACAATTTCAGAAAAAACTGACTTTTGGCAATTCACTCAAAAATGGTGTCCAACGGTTGCAAATGGTCCCCTGAAAAGTTTGGCGGTCGAAATAGAAGGCTTTTTATCACAGGACAAGAAATCAGCCCTCGACAACTTAACCGGCAGAAGATGATTTTTTCGAAAAAATCATTAAGCCCCGGGGTCACAATTTCAGAAAAAATGTGACTTTCAGCAATTCACTCATAAATGGTGCCGAACGGTTGCAAATGCTCCGGTGAATGGTGTGGCGGTCGAATCAGTAGGCGTTTTAACACAGGACAAGAAATCAGCCCTGGACAACTTAACCGGCAGAAAAATATTTTTTTGAAAAAATCCCTAAGCCCCGGGGTCACAATTTCAGAAAAAATCTGACTATCGGCAATTCACTCAATAATGGTGCCCAACGGTTGCAAATGCTCCCCTGAAAAGTTTGGCGTTCGAAACAGAAGGCTTTTTATCACAGGACAAGAAATCAGCCCTCGACAACTTAACCGGAAGAATATTTTTTTGAAAAAATCCCTAAGCCCCGGGGTCACAATTTCAAAAAAAATCTGACTTTCGGCAATTCACTCAAGAATAGTGCCCAACGGTTGCAAATGCTCCCCTGAAAGGTTTGGCGGTCGAAACAGAAGGCGTTTTAACACAGGACAAGAAATCAGCCCTGGACAACATACCCGGCAGAAGAAGATTTTTTTGAAAAAATCCCTAAGCCCCAGGGTCACAATTTCAAAAAAAATCTGACTTTCGGCAATTCACTCAAGAATGGTCTCCAACGGTTGCAAATGCTCCCCTGAAAAGTTTGGCGGTCGAAATAGAAGGCTTTTTGTCATAGGACAAGAAATCAGCCCTGGACAACTTAACCGGCAGAAGAAGATTTTTTCGAAAAAATCAATAAGCCCCGGGTCCCAATTTCAGAAAAATGTGACTTTCGGCAATTCACTCATAAATGGTGCCCAACGGTTGCAAATGCTCCCCTGAAAGGTTTGGCGGTCGAAACAGAAGGCGTTTTAACACAGGACAAGAAATCAGCCCTGGACAACTTAACCAGCAGAAAAATATTTTTTTGAAAAAATCCCTAAGCCCCGGGGTCACAATTTCAGAAAAAATGTGACTTTCGGCAATTCACTCAAAAATGGTGTCCAACGGTTGCAAATGCTCCCCTTAAAAGTTTGGCGATCGAAACAGAAGGCTTTTTATCATAGGACAGGAAATCAGCCCTCGACACCTTAACCGGCAGAAGAAGATTTTTTTGAAAAAATCCGTAAGCCCCGGGGTCACGTTCTGAAATTCACTCAAAAATGGTGCCAAACTGTTACAAACGATCCCTGAAAGGTTTTTCGTTGGAAACGAATGGGTTTTTCTCATCGGAAACAGAATTAGCACTCGACGTCTGAACAACTTTTTCTGAACAAATCCCTAAGCCGCTCGGTCACAATTTCAGCAAAAATCTGACGTTCTGGAATTCATTCTAAAATGGTGCCAAACTGTTGCAAACGATCCCCTGAAAGGTTTTTCGGTGGAAACAGATGGGTTTTTCTCATCGGAAACAGAATTAGCCCTCGACGTCTGAACACCTTTTTCTGAAAAAATCCCTCAGCCCCGGGATCACAATTTCAGAAAAAATCTGACTATCGGCAATTCACTCAATAATGGTGCCCAACGGTTGCAAATGCTCCCCTGAAAAGTTTGGCGTTCGAAACAGAAGGCTTTTTATCACAGGACAAGAAATCAGCCCTCGACAACTTAACCGGAAGAATATTTTTTTGAAAAAATCCCTAAGCCCCGGGGTCACAATTTCAGAAAAAATGTGACTTTCGGCAATTCACTCAAGAATAGTGCCCAACGGTTGCAAATGCTCCCCTGAAAGGTTTGGCGGTCGAAACAGAAGGCGTTTTAACACAGGACAAGAAATCAGCCCTGGACAACTTAACCGGCAGAAGAAGATTTTTTTGAAAAAATCCCTAAGCCCCAGGGTCACAATTTCAAAAAAAATCTGACTTTCGGCAATTCACTCAAGAATGGTCTCCAACGGTTGCAAATGCTCCCCTGAAAAGT